GTTGATATTTTGTAGTTTCAAGTTTTCTGTTTATTCTAGTTTTGTTATGATTTCAGCTCGTTCTTGTTTCTTCACTAATTTTTCTCACGTCTATATTGAATTTTTTTATTGATGATGGATGTGAAGCTCTCTTTTTATTGCAATGTTGCGTAACTGTGGTGTAAGAGTCATCACTAAAACTTCGGTGATGCTCATATTTTTCTTAATCATCAATTTTAAGAGAACGAGCTTTTCGGACTAGGGTTTCAATTTGTTCTGCGAGTTGTTTTTTTTTGTTTCATTTGGAAATGTGTGGATTTCATTGCACGAAACACTTTGATGTTGTTTGTTTTTTTCCGAGTCGAACAAATTTGAGAATTTTGTTCAAATTTTTTCCAATTGGATTTAATTTCTTTAGGTAAAACTGAAAACCGTTTTTGAACTGAACCATCTAGAGTTCCAATTTTGATGAAGTGGTGTGTTTATTGGTTCTGGACCTATATTCAAAATTTGGTTTGCCGTAAATGCATTTAGATAGGCTTCTACTGAACAATCAGGCTATGTTCCTATGAATAACTTGATTGGTTTATTAGACGTAATGGGTGATCCAACCATAAGGTATGGACTAATTGTCATTTCAAGTAATTCTGCTTCAATTGGTATTTGTGTAAAGTGTAAGTTGTGTTTTTGTAATTTCATGTTGTTGTATTTCGCTTTGCCTTGGTTTTGATCGATAACTTTGAGTTTTTATTTGGTTTTGTAATTGCATGTTGTTACTTTGTTGTGCTGAATTTTGTCGTTGAAAAAAATGTTGCGTTTGTCTTGTTTGTTCTGAATTTATGTGAGGTTCAAAAATGCTGGTTGATAAATGTCATCTGGTTGGTTATATTTATACCATTTGTTTTTTTTGTTGGTTATCATTGTGTTGTTATTAGTTTTGGTTAAAATAATCTTTATCTTCAGAATAGTGTGGTTGACTTCTTGTGAATTGTCTGATAGTTGTATTTTTATTTTGTTGAAAAATGAATGGTTTTCAGTACGGTACGGTAGACTTTTTTGTTTTTCACTAATTAATACTGATTGAGATACTGGTTTTTGTATCTGATGGGTTTAGTCATGTTCTTGAGTTGTATATTGAGGTTTTGCTATTGGGTTGCTAATAATAGTGTTTGCGAAAAAATCATAATTGTGGTTTGCAAAAATATTCCTGTTTGCTTGTTTTTGCTCGTTGTTTCGTCTTGTTTTAGTCATTGGTCTATTTGTTTGATAATCCATACGGTAGTTGGTTGGAACAAAGGATGGTGTTAAGGTTGATTGTAATGTGGTTTTTGGAAAGGAGTATTTTTTATGTGGGGTTTTGGTTGTTGGGTGAATAGGAGAAACGCTCTGTTGTGTTGTCTTAGATTTTTGGTTTCCACTGTTTCTTCGTTTATAAAATGTGATGGAGTTTGGAGTTTGTATATCTTGGTGATTCAGATTTCTAGTTTCATTAAGGGTTTCTTGTGTATTTATCGAAGCTGAATTTAAACTATTCTTACTTATCCTATCATTAAAAAATGTTTTATAGTTAAAAGATGTTGTATCACTTGTCAGTGGGGTGATTTTTAATTAATCTTTTTGTACCGAGACATTAGAAATTGCTGTACTTGATATATCATTAGGCATGATAAAAGATTATATGAGACCATTCAGAATCCCATACATAATCTATTAAGTCTGCCAAAACTGTTTATTCATTTGGATTTTGTGGTCGGAAATTTTTTTCTTGCTGGTGAAATTGAATCTAAGTTGGGTTGAAAATAATTTAATTTGAGTCATGCTAGGATTCGTTCTAGGTCCTTTTTTTACATTTTTAAGATATTTCGTAATCAATAAGCGTTACACGAAATAATTCTAAAAATTGCGAGAAAAGATCGATTTCTTGTTGTCGTACAATGGCATATCAAGATTTTTGCGGTGGTGATACGTAAAATAGTTCGTTTGATTGTAATATAGACACATAGCTATAAAGGATAGCAAACACCTGGTTTGTGAAAATCGAGTGTGCTTTTTTGCGAGTTTTGAAGTTGAATATTCATAATATATTTTGTCAAAACTTTTGAGAAATGTAATTCTATATCATCTGTTTGTATTCGGTGTGTTATTTGATTTGATGCTTGTGGTGGTAATATTTACTTAATAAATATGCCGTTATATGAAATTGTTTTACTGATGTGTGGTAGATAGTGGTTTACATTTCGCGTCTTCTGATTTATATTTCGGGAGGTTCTTGCTTACATGGGCTATTTCCTTTTTCAAACAACTTTGCAATTAAATTATGGCAAAATTGTACTTTTCCTCTAGCGGGATTGCTTTGTGGATGAATGAAATTAGAAAAGATAGAGGAATTTTAAAATTTTTGTCGTTTTGATTCTTTTTTCATGTGGAATTACAGTTACTGTGTAACTTTCAGTGTGCCTTATTGGTTGTTTCCAATTATAGAGTCTGAGTGGTTTATGAAGGTGTGATTTTTTAATTCTACGTTTACCTTTAAAAGATGATGGCGTTGTGGATTCGGATTCGGAAAACGATTTTTGATTGTTAAATGGTTTATCTGTTTTGTCAATTAAATCTCGAACATTTTGAAGTTCTTCTATTGCAGTTGATTTCTGATAGTGCGTTTCGTGATTTTGAAAATTTTCGTTTGACAATTTGTTTTTGTTTATTTTTTTTGTCTTTTATTGTGCTTGTTTTTTCGATCTGATGTATGCTATCGTTCGTCAGCTAAGAGGAGGGGCTCAAGTGAAGGATGAATAACCGAAGTTCTTCACTGTGTATCATAGTTGAAATGGTTAGTTTCTTTTAATTATGGGTCGCTGAGAAAGGTTGGAGAATGAATCGACGTTTGAGGTGGTTCTACACTTTTTACTAAGAAGTGGGGAGAAGGAAAATTTTCTGATTGATACAAGGGAAGCCTTGATGATCACATATTTTTTTTTGAATTAAAATTTAGAATTAAGTCAAAATTTAAATATCCAAGGATAATCTTGATGATCTGAATTAGGAAAAGTTTAGAATTTTACTGAACAAGAATAGGCCTTGACAATGTTTATGTTTAAGGTTTTTATAAGAATTCATTAAAAAAGATTGATTTGAATTTAGAAATTTAAATGATTTCAATTTCTAGTTGATTAACGTTAGATGAAGGAACAAAAAAGCATCCGTCAGAATTGGTGAGATATTAGTGCTTGAGAAGCAAGGAACTTCCCAAAATTTTAATAAAAATAACTTAAATTTAATTACTAACTAATTTTTGTATTGTTTTCATTCAATAAATTTTAATTTCACAAAATTTTCAAATTAATGCAGATTTTAATAAATGAACGACTTGGATTTTTGTATTGAATTTTATATAAAATGGTTATATATCATTGAGAAGTATATATGGCTGGATAAGAATCTAACTGCTCCATGTAACTTTTATTTCATATTAGAGAATGAAAAGTTACTGCATGGAGAACTTTGAAGAAAAATAATCGTTTGCAGTTTTACGATATAGAAACTTGATCTGGTGTTCGGGTATTGACCTGGTGTTTGTCGTGTTGTTTGAACTACTGGAGTAGACGTATTGAGACGTAGGGACTTATTCAGTTGTCTATGGCATCTAACATTTTGCAAGTTATTCTTTGTTAGTTATTTTAATTTCAGCCGGATAGATTCCTGCAACTTCTTAGTCTAATACTGACCTTAATCTTGCTCTTATATCTCCTTGTCCAATAGATCTAGTGTATAATGGTATTTGCGAGTTAGATATCTGGAACAGTTTTGAACGAGAACAACTGTCTTCTAAGTTATAATTAAATTGTTCTGTTTTTGAAACTATGAAGAGTTTCAACGTTACAAGTAATTGTCAGTGTTAGTTACGGATCATGATTGGTTAGTACGAAAAGTTTTGTAGAGATAGTTTTATCAATGAAATAATTTGTTATAAATACTAGTTGTAAACTGGTTCCACACATCAGTAAAAAAAAATCTTTCCTTTTATGCGTTTTGTGCGTAGTTTAGTGAGTGAGAGAAAACAAAAAAGAAGCTTAGAACATCAGTATATTAATCATAAATGAAGCTTTAAAAACTAGACTTCAATCCTACAGTATTTTTGCAACGCCTTTAAGAAAGCTTTTGCATAATAAAGCACTTACTTACCAAAAGTATACGAAGATCAAAAACTTTCCGAATTTTTTATGTTGGCCGAATCACGACCAAAACTGCTATTATCCGGTTTTCTTACAAATTTTTTCTTTTTAATTTTTTGAGTCATCTGTTTTTGTGAGGAAAATTTTTTAAAATATAAGAAGACAGCGTCCCTCCCCACTTTCGTTGGCCAAAAAAAATCTAGATCAAAAATAATTGATATATTTTAGTTAGTGTTTCAAATCAGACATGCATGCTTTCAGTGAGTTTTGTTTTAATCAGATTTAATAATTTTGAATAGATTTAATTAAAAAACAGATTTAATTGGGATCATTTAGGAAAACAACTTTCCAAACAAAAACAATTTTTAATACTTTAGTTCTTGAAATTCTATGAGAAAAGTAGATTTTAATGCGACTATATAGAAAAGTTTTTTTACAGTCACAAAACAAAAATGTTTGGGGATTATAGGGCGATAAAAGTCGATTTTGATTTTGTCGATATGATCGTAGTGAATCTAACTCATGGAAAAATTTGCCTGATTTTGTTTTATATTTACTTGCATGATAGCATCGTTTTTGCCAAAATTTTCTTAATGTTTTCCATCTAAAACTGTTATGCTCAGTGCGAAATATTAAGACAGGACTGTAACCTCGTTGATAGCAATGTTTCATAAAACTGGATGATATGAGTTAACGCGAAGGAAGACTTTGGAATGCGAGTGTTGTTTTGAAGTAAATCCAGGCAATATTAGTCCAGTTTTTAAAAATCAAATATAATTTACATCTATCTCGAAATGTTGAAATAATGTTCAACCTTTAAAAATTGATAAAAATTAAATTCGTGCCTGCTCTTGCAATTTAACAATAATAAATTGTTGATATGAAACCTAAAACATAATACCGTTGAATTAAGATTGATGAATTTAGTGTTCAGACATTGGTGAGTCTTTATTTAGTCCATATAATAGCTCAGTTTTTGTTACTCTCATGAGGATGCGCTTTTGATTTGACTCTCAATCTTCAGGTACTCCAGCTGCCATTTGCTGATCAGCAGCTCCTGCTCTTCCAGCTCTTTCCTTCTCATTTCCGATTTCGAATTGCTCCATTGCAGCTCACAGAAATCCTTCACCTCTCTGTCAATCATCTGGATTTCACGCTGCACTTCGTCGTTCAAGTAGTACAAGATAGTAGACGGAACCACGATTGAGATCCGATCCATCGCCAGGTCTTTCAGGACCTCCAGCGCCGACTCGTATGTGGCTTTTTTCTGTGATTCGTACTTCAAAACATCATCACCAAACAACCCGTCACAACTAGACATCATGTCCATGAAATCAGCAGTGTCGTCATCATGAGTTTCGAATCGGATCCTAGTGTTGGATCTCTTCCGGAAGTCTGTATCTTCGTCATCGTCATCATCGTTTGGAACCTTCAGGTTGATACCAACACGTGATCCGCCTGCTGATTTGCTTTTGATTCTTTTGTAAGTTTGTCGCATTTGTTCCATTCGTTCATCAAGGTCTAACCTCTTCAGAATTTTCAGGTACAAATGATCGTCAGTGTAGAAATACTGCTCATACTTGTGCACATTCTCAAGTTGCCCACTCAAAATTTGTTGTGCATTTTCAAAAATTGTTTTCAGTCTTGCTAACAGGAAATCAATATGACCCTGCTGGCCATCGAACATTTCAAACACCAATTGCATGATGACTTCCCTGTTCAGATTTCGAATTTCTTCTTTGCAGATCATTGCAGGTCCCACAAATGACGTCACAATAGGCACTGCGTATGTTTTGAAGTTTGCATAGTTGTGAAAATTCACCAATTCGCCCTTTCTCCAGGTTGATACCACCTCTCCCATGTTTTTCGAGTTCTCGACATCCACCATTTTTTGCTGGTAGCACTGCTTGAATCTCTCAAAGCACACTCGCTGCCGCGAAAACATATCTTGTGTTATCACGTGAGGAGAGTAATTTCCTTTTAAGGTATCCCTTGCAGCTTCGATGAATTTTTGCAATTTTTTGTCAACGGCCTCGGACGTGTTTTGCTCTGTTTCCGGAAGTCCGTTCAATTCTTCGCCAATATCGCATCTTAAATTTTCAACATTCGTCCAAGATGATCGAAACTCTTCCAAAATAGGTTTAAGTAGCATGTAGCATACTTTTTTGTACAAGTTTTGGAACGAGCAATGGTCTGGAGGTATTCCAAATTCCTTGCATATAGGTCGAAATATTTCTGCTTCCTGGGCGTCGTTTTTAGCTGCACTGTTCACAAACACACAATGTTTGTACTTATGGTAGTCCTGGTTTGCGATTTGTTGGAGCAGTTTTTGGAGCCGACTTTTATCGACCACACATTTATCGATTTTTGTGAAGACCACAACTGTTCGTTGACCTTCCGGGTCGACGCTGTTTACGAGGTCAAAAATTTTGTTCAGCGCCAGATCAC